CATACAATCTCCTTGTTCTTATATGTGTACTTTGTTTTGTGGTGTGGGGGAGTGAACCAGTGCCTTACAGAAGCTGGGGAAGCGCTCTGCCAACCCTCATCTGCTCATTTTTGGGGAAGGAGGGTTTGCCCATTGTTGCAGAGAAGGAGCAGCATTGGGTATCCCAACTCAGCATCTTGTGGGATTCCTGGGAAAACCCACCAACCTGGGAGTCTAGTGGGTGGTGGATGCTTCTTCCAGAATGTAGTTTGGCCTGCTTTTTGCTGAGGCTCCTCACATCACTTCTTCATATTGAAGGATCAGAAAGAGAAGCTGAGAGTCAGGCATGGTAGCACAAGCYTGTAATCCCAGTGGCTTAGGAGGCTGAGGCAGAAGGATCAAATCTGAGGCCAGCCTCAGCAACTATTAATTTTTGAGACAGTGAGATTCTGTCTCAAAAATTAATAGGGCTGGGCATGTAACACCCCTGGATTCAATCCCTAGTGGAAGAAAGAGAGAGAGAAAGAGAGAAAGAGAGAGAGAGAGAGAGAGAGACTGAGGTCTGGAAGAGGCCTGAGGGACTGGGCCTATCATTTGAACCACCTTGAGAGATCTGTTAGGACAGTGTGGGAGGAAGCCCAGATAAATCCCCCTGGACTCCAGGAATGAGGCAGTATCTCATGTTGGGAAGAGGACTCAAAAGAAGCAAGCAATGGAGGTAACAGAGGGGGTGGAAAGGAGGATTTTCAGATGTAGGGACCAGCAGAAAGAAGGTGAGGAGGCGACACACCCTTGTACAGTGGCAGTCTGAGAGGCAGGCCAGCCTGGACTGGGAGTAGGTAGCTGAGGAGACACCTTGAGGGTGAAGAATTGGTGGAAGGCTGAGAAAGCCAGGAAAAGGTCTTGGACTGTGCTCTGAGGCAGAGGGTGAGCCATAGCAGCAGGGGCTCTGTCGTTGGAGTTCTGGTGGCCACAGACAGGTTGGAAGGGAATGGTGGGGAGGGGCTGGCTCCAGTGAGAAGCTGTTCCAGGTGCTGATAGAGATCAGGAAGTGAACTCTGGACCTTATCTGACATCATATACTTCTTTTCTGCTTCCAGAGGAGTGCGGCTTGGCTGGGGCTTCCTGAGGGTGGGGTGGGGAAGGAGAGCATGTTCTGGCTTGGCTGCTCCAGCAGCATACTGGAGTTGAGTGAGTTGGTGTGTCCAGGTCACCAGGAGGGGCCTTGTGCAGTGCATCTGGCTCCCAGATCCTGTGTTCCAGCAGGGAAAATCCTCCAGGGGATCCCTTTCCTTCCCTCCACTGCCATAGATCTCTGCAGCCTCCCAGGCAGTGTTGTTGCTGGGGTGGATGCAGGGAGCTGGAGATGACAGTCTGGGTGGTGGTGGGGGAGCAGTGTTATGTAAGTTTGAACAGGAGGCTTGCTTGCCATGTGAGTAGAAATCAGATGCAAGGACAGCTAGAGGCAGTGCAGTTGCACCAGAGAAGGGCTGCGCTAGCAGAGGAGGGCTGGGGCCAGGAGGAGGAGAAGGGACAMCTGGTTCCGTGAACTGCCGGCCTGGGAGGGCAACCTCTGAAATCATCAGTCTGTATTCCTCTGGTTCAGTGTGCTGTTTATATGCTGTTCTTGATCACTTTGATCCTGGTCTTCATTTTGTGATGTTTCAAGAGCTGCAGTTGTCACCACTTTACTGATGGCACATTACAACCCAGAGAAGTGAAATCTAGCTCAAGGCTGCACGTAGAGCAGGTGACAGGACCAGGATTTGAATACAGGCCTCCTGCCCCTTTACCTAATGCTCCTTTCTAGGTCCCAAACAAGGTCTCACAGACCACACCACACAGGCCATGGGAGCTTTGGGGATGGGTGAGGGAGTGTGGCTGGTGTGCTCAGCACCCAGAAGAAAGGCTGTGGCATGTGGTGGGGCGTATGAAAGAGGGGACTCGTGTGGGACTCATGTTGAACTGCCTATCTATCCCTATGTCCCAGCAGGCATGTCACCTCCCTCTTCCAAGTTTGGTCCTATTTTGTAGTGTCCTATTCCATATCCTGAGCAAGTGGTTTCTAGGAATTTGTCCTCTGAAAGTGGCRCTGAGGAATTTTTCCATATGTTCTATTATAGGATCCTTATTACTTTCAGTAAAGCTGCTGGGCTTGCTCCTTGGCTGAAAGTGTTTGTTGGGACCTGTCCTACACTAGGCTGGGGGAAGGAACAGTTAGTTATTCATCTCCCAAAACTTTTTCGTATAATTCTCCAGAAGGCCACATGCTCCCTCCCTCTCTGTCCCAGTCGTTACCAAGTGTTCTACAGAGGTCTACCTTCACYAGCCATCACAGCTGCACCCTTCACTCTCTGGTTTCATGCATTTTTATTTTCTTCATGGCCCAAGAAACTCCCTGAAATTACACATTTGTTCATTGATTTATTCATTGTCTCCTCACACTAAAATTTAAGCTTCGTGACAGTGGGGACTTGATCAGTCTGTTCACCTCTGTGTGCCTGGAAGCTTGCAGAGTGCCTGCATGTTGTTGGTTCTCTGTAACTATTAGTGACACAGAGAGCTAAAGAATATGGCAGCAAGGCTGGTGGGAGGCAGATAGGTTCAGATGTCAGAAGGTCTGGATTCTGCTTCTAGCTTTACTCAGTTTTTGCTCTGTGACCTTGAATAAGCCCCTGGACCCTTTGGGCTTAGACCTTTTGTCTCTACCATGAAAGGCAGAACTGGATGCCCTTTAAGGCCCCTCCTGGTGTCTGTGCCTTGACACCTGTGGTAGGTTGGGGTTGCCCAGAGGTTTGGGAAGGTCTTGTCTCCTGTGCTCCTTGCAAAAGCCTGACCTGGATCTGAATGCTGTGTGTGGAGACATGATGAGGGCTGGGACTTAGAAAGAGCACGGCATGGCTGTGTGGGTATACCTGTGTATATGCTAGCTTGCGTGTGCACATGGTGAGTTTGGATCTGTGCATTGGACAAGAGTTTCTGGAGCATCTACCATGTGCCCAGCATTGTCTGGCTCACATCTTAGAGTGGTGAGAAGGGCAGCCAGCCAGTGCCCTGCTGGAGCTGTTGGTGATGGAGAGAGGCAGGAGATGAGTTGTGTGGGAGAGGGGTTTGCTGGGAGATTAAAGGTAAATTTTTTTTTTTTCAATTTGCTCTTGGAAGGATACTCAAATAGACCTGTTAGAATCTGTTGATTCATGTGGAAGAGTATTGAAGGAAAAATAATGAAATGTTAATAATTTCTCTGGCAGGWTGGAATTATTTTTGGCTTGGTTTTTTCCTCTGATTTTTCCAGATGTTCTATTATAGTGTCCATATTACTTTCAGTAAAGATTCCCTGTCATGATGGGGTTGTAGCTGAGTGGTAGGGCACCCATATGCCTGGCATATAGGTGGCCCTGAATTCAATCCATAGCATCACACACACAAAAAGATTCTCTGTCATGGTTTAGGATTTTTCTCCTGACATTGCCTGCCCTTGAGTGACTCTCTCACTATTTGTTGATGTCTGCTCATAAAACCCTGGCCTGGGGACTCCAAGTCCCAACCTGGGTTTTCCCACCTGTAAATCAAGACAATGACCCTGGTCTGTCCATTTCACAGTTGTCTGATCAAAGGAGATGGTGGGAGAAAAGACATGTGAAAGGTTATTGCTCTCTGCAGACAAAGAGCCAGTGGCCTGTTATTGGTGGCAGCAGAAGGTGTGGAATGTGGGATGGTATTGTGAACCTAGGGACCTGAGTAGACCTTATGCTGGCATATTGCCTTGACTCTGAGGAGCATCTTTCAGGCCTCTGAGTTCTCTGGCCTTGAGTAGCTAGGGGCTCACCTTGACTAACAGAGCAGGTGTAGGTGAGTTGACTTTTAGGTAAGTGACTTCAGTTAAAGAAAATCACAAGTCAGCACCCACTCCATGCTTTGTGCTTGGTACAGAGGTCAAGAATAGAAATTCCTGCCCTTATTAAGTCTTTGATCTGCAGCCTCAGCGAGCATATAGTTCTTTTTTTTTTTTWAATATTTATTTATTTATTTATTAGTTTTCGGCAGACACAACATCTTTGTTCATATGTGGTGCCGAGGATTGAACCCGGGCCGCACGCATGCCAGGCGAGCACGCTACAGCTTGAGCCACATCCCCAGCCCAGCATATAGTTCTTGTTATTTATGTTTTCTGCTTCTCATACCTTCCACCCATAGATCTGTGTCCTGCCAACAAGGATGGTTGAATGTTTTAGTTAGCTTTTTTCAGTACTGGGACTAAAAGACCTGACCAGAACAATTTTAAAGGAAGAAAAGTTTATTTAAGGGCTTACAGTTTCAGAGGTCTTAGTCCAAAAGATGGCCAGCTCCATTCCTCGGGGCTTGAGGTGAGGCTGAACATCACGGTGAAAGTGTGTGGCAGAGGGAAGCAGCTCACATGGTGATTAGGAAGCAAAGAGAGAGACTCCACTTTCCAGATAACAAAATGTATACCCCATAGCCATGCCCCTAATAAACCACTTCCTCCAGCCACACCCCACCTGCCTCCAGTTACCACTCAGTTAATCCATCAGGGATTAATTCACTGATTAGGTTAAGGCTACACCCACAATCATTTCTCCTCCAAACCTTCTTGCATTGTCTCACACATGAGCTTTTGTGGGGCACCCCACATCCAAACCATTAACATTGAAGCAAGACTTTCAAATCTTGACTATTCATGAGGGCTGACTCCTTTCCATGGGTCGTTTGGCCAAGCCTGAATCCTTAAGGGGTAGAAAGAAATCTACTGGCTTTTTGTCCTACTTTTCCAGCAGCTAATCATTTCATTCCCTGACAGTCCTTCCTTGGACCCTGAAAAAGGGGGGAATAAGGAACTCTGGTGTCCAGTATTTGCAAGCCAAGGGGTGCCTCTGATGGGAGACTGGGGTGTTGTCCTGGACTCACTGTCAACACTGGCCTTTTTAGGGAACATTGACTCTTCTCCCCTACCCAGGCTCCTTATGTCAGTTCCTTACTTTTTTATTTTTTCTTTTCTACAGATGTCAAGCCATCCAACATCCTAGTCAACTCCCGTGGGGAGATCAAGCTCTGTGACTTTGGGGTCAGCGGGCAGCTCATTGACTCCATGGCCAACTCCTTCGTGGGCACAAGGTCCTACATGTCGGTACGAACAGCAGGTTTTGAGTTTCTCAGCTGGTCAGAGATAGGAGCCAAATGGTTACCTTCTCTGTGGAGCCAGAGCGTTGTGATGGGTGATGATGGGTGGGGGACAAGAAATGAGGGATGAGGCACAATGGTCCTCCCTGAGGAGTTGAAGTCTAACAGGAAGATACTTGGCCTTTCATGGACCTAGGTGCATAATTGGAGTCTTTTCACTCACTAGGAGACATTGTACCATCCCAGCTTCAGAGCTTGGCTTCTATTCCAAAGAGACAGTTCTAGCTAGATGTCTTTATCTGATTGTTTACAGACCCTCACACCCAACAAGTTCAGACATGATGGCACTCCAAACTGTCCTACCTTTCCTTTCCTATTAGCAGTAAATAGCATTACTGTGTCCAAGGCAGAAGTTGACTTAACCTCCCTTTCTACCTCCCCATTCTTTTAACATCTAGTACCCCCAACTCCTGAGTTTATTTAGAGTTGTTTCCTCCATCTTGCCTCTTTCCCTCCTCACTACATGTCGACTTCTACCTCTGCCTCTCACTGTAGCCCACCCGGTCTCCTGGCTRGAGTCTCTGCTCTAGTTCAGCCATCTTGGGGATCTTCCCTCCTTCAACACTCCATCTTGGGGGTATTTCTTCCTGCTCACAACTCTGCTGGCTCCCAGTGCCACCAGAGTGCTGTGGCTGTCCCACGCCCATGGCTACATCAACACAGGATCATTTTCTTTCCCCTTGGGAAGGCTGTGACWTTCTTGTCCTTGGCATCGGCTTGGGATCTGACATGTGCAGGTGTTGAGGGAAGGCTGGGTGAGTGGGGGAATGTCAGCTGACTGAAGGGAAAGGTGGGAACATGAGTCTGGGTGAGTGCTGACCCAATTCTGCTGGGTCAGAGTGGGTGGTCTTTACAGAAGCAGAAGTAAGTGCAGCCAATGATTGTGAAGACAGGCTCAGAGGCCCAGGAGACCTTAACATGCACAGTATTTTATGTGCTCTTTGTCAAAGCACTTTTATATCCTTAAATGGTCTCATTTGATCCATGCAGTTGTTCCATCGAGGATAGAGCATAGTTCCCATTTCAGAAGTGAGGAACTCTAGATTAGAGGGGTTAAGAGAACAACTACATAACTTGCCAAGCCAGGATTGAAAGCCAACTCCTGCACTTATCCTCATTCCCACTTGCTGGCCCCTCCCCTGCTGTCAACACCACTCAACACTGCTTGACACATGTCCCCATCCCTCTGTACTCCAATGACCCATGGTGAGCTCTCTTCTGCTCTCTTTGCCTGTCGTCTCCGTCATCGCTTCTTCCCTAAGTGGATCATAACTAAACAGCTGGCACCCTGGGCCCTTCAATTGCCAGCTTTCAAGTTCAAAAATCAATTAATAAGCCCTGGGACTTATTGATCCAGGGTTTACTGGTTGGGTTTTTGTGGTTACATGGTCAGTTCCAAAATAGTTCAGCGTTAGAGTTAGTGAAAAATCCTATGGGAGAAGTTAATTCAGTCTAAATAAATGAACTATGGTCAGAATAAAGATTTTTTGGTAGGATTTTTGAATTTGTGTACTACTTGAAATAATGCTTAGTTAAAAATAATGGTTTTTGTAGCACTATATAYTTTTTTCTCCTTGAGTCTTCCCACCAAATATCAAACTGATATTTTGATATTTCCCAATATCAAACTGTTTATATACAATTTTGCAGTATCTGACATGTTTTCATTTGATTTGACCTCAATAACACTAGTAAAAAGGATGGGTATTTTGTTATGTTGTTGTTACTGTTTTTACCATCAGCAACCAGCCCCATTTTATAGATGAAGAAACTGAGGTTCACATCTCGGAGCTTGTAAGTCCCAGGGTTGGGACCTGACCTCAGATCCTTTGTTTCTTGTACCCACGGCGTTACTTCATTCATACCCATGTTTCACAAGCTTCCTATTTTAGACTCAGGTAACAAGATGAGCTTCTCATGGTGGGCTTGGGAGAGGCTKCCCTGTACATGCAAGTCAGTGGCCAGAATGAACAAAGCTGGAACCACAGGCTGAAGTGGTAGTTGGGGCCCAGTGGGTTGGATGCTGTCAGCTTAGTGTGTGTTACAAGGGATACAGTGAGGAGGAGTCAGAACCATGAAACCAGCTAGGATTTGGTAAGTATGACATTTGGAGGCAAATGGGAGGTGAGATTCAAGATGTTTGTGGGGCTCTTCAAACAGGATGTGAGCATGTGAGTTGCCCAGAGGAAGGGACAGAAGATAAAACATTAGCAAACCAAGGGTCGTGCTTAGTTCAGCTGATGATAACTGTTTCTGTCTCTTCTGCAGCCAGAAAGACTCCAGGGGACTCATTACTCAGTGCAGTCGGACATCTGGAGCATGGGGCTCTCTCTGGTGGAAATGGCAGTGGGGAGGTACCCCATCCCTCCTCCAGATGCCAAGGAGCTGGAGCTGATGTTTGGGTGCCAGGTGGAGGGAGATGCAGCTGAGACACCCCCCAGGCCCAGGACACCCGGGAGGCCCCTTAGCTGTGAGTGGCCTGCTGTGTCTCCAGTTTGAACTGTGGGGTCCCTTGTTGTAAGGGGTTTCTGGAGGGCAGACTCTCTGTACATTCTGCCAACACTGCTTCTCTGTCTCGATGCCAGGCTGGGGCCAGGGGGAAGCAGCAGGGGTTTTCAGGTAAGAGCAGAAAATTATCATAACCATGAACAGTTTCCCACCATTTGTTGAGTACCTCTATGTTCTAGGTGCTGTGCTTATTAGCAGTTTATATACATTAGTTTTCTTTTTAGTCGAGACAGTTTTGGTAGATTTGTTTTTACTGAGATAAAATTCACATAACACAATATTGACATTTTAAAATACATGTGGCCCCTGAGGCTGGCCTGTACCTCTGGGATATGAAAAGAAGAAACCCAGGTTCAGGAAGAATTAAAGCTAAGTCAAGTATAGCTCAGTGATAGAACACTTGGCTAGCATATGGAAAGGCCTGGGTTCAGTCCCCAGCATTGTGGGGGAGAGGTGATCAACAACACCACATACAACGAAATCCTTTAGTTGTTTAGTCATTATATTATTTCACATAATATAAAGGAGGAGAAATGGGCAGATGTATTTATTACCTATGTCTGCTTTACAAAATTTTGTTCTTAATATGGCACAGTGGCACATGCCTGTAATCCCAGCAACTTGGTAGCTAAAATAGAAGGATTGCAAGTTCACGGTCAGCTTCAGCAACTTAGACCCTGTCTCAAACTAAAAAATAAAAAGGGCTGGGGAGGTAGCTTATTTCAGTTCCCATTACTGGATAAAGAAAGGTAACTCAGGGCTGGGGTTGTGGCTCAGTGGTAGAGCACTCGCCTAGCATGTGCAAGGCCCTGGATTCGATCCTTGGCACCACATAAAAATAAATAAATATTGTGTCCAACTACAACCAAAAAAAAAAAAAAAAACCGGTAACTCAGTACTTTATCTCAGAGGTCACCTGATTTGCCCAAAGTCACAAATGTAGGATATAGCAGAGCCCAGACTCATACTCTGACCAGGTGACTCTGAAAGGAAAGTGAGAAAGCGAGAGCCATGTGGGCGAGAAATGAAGGACAGAGACCAGAGATCCACACAAAGGTTTATTTGTCAAAGCTGACAAATAAAGGCCATCCCTCTGTAGAGTGGAGAGAGGCCCTGAGATGTTTGGGTGTTCAGCTTTTGTGGGGTAGGRATTTGGAGTTGTAGTTGTGGTGCTAGGGGATGGGCTTGGGAGTGCTTGCCTCAGAGCTAGGCGGGTGGGGAATACCATGGGATTGGCTTAGGTTGATGGCACCATGGCGCTTTCCAGAGTCAAGGGGTCCTGGCCTTCTGGATTTGGCTTAGGGTTATGGTACCGTGGGGTAGGTCACTAATGGAGGCTGGGGAGTTTGGGTAAGAGGAAGTACAGGAAAGCAAAACCGATAAGATGGTGGTTAACACTTAAGATGGCTGCTTGAATGTTAAATCAGTACTCTATACTGTGGCCTTTGCTAGTTCCTTCTGTTGAGGCCTTATCTGTGAGTGATCTGTTTATTGTCATAACCCTGTTCTGGGTCCATGCCCAGCCCCTTGCCCCATTGATAAGTGATCACCTGTGTGTTTCTGAGAACTATTTTCTTTTTCCCTTTTGTAAAATTGTAGCATATGGAATGGACAGTCGACCTCCCATGGCAATTTTTGAGTTGTTGGATTACATAGTCAATGAGGTAAGTATGGCCTGGTTTCCTTGACCTTGGAATTTATTCACTCCCCTTAAGAAAATACCCATTGTCCTGGGTGGTAGCGCGTGCGTACCTGTGTCTCAGCTATTTGGGAGACAAGGCAGGAGGATTATCTGTTCAAGGCCAGTCTGGGCAACTTAGAGAAACCTTGTCTCCAAATAAAAAATAAAGCGTGGGGAAGTAACTCAGTGGTTGAGTGCCCCTTGGTTCAATCCCCAGTACTGCCCACCCCCAACCCCCACTCCTACCCCTGCCCCAGTAGCCATGGCTGAGTTGCCTGGGAGACCTGGAAGTTGTTCCCACAGTATGGCCTCCAGGATGTTTGTGTTCTGGTTTATGCCTCCTGCTGCTGAAAACATTGGCTGGTTTAGAAACTACAGGAGTGTTCCCAGTCCCCCACTTCCATCCCCTCCCCCCATCTTCCTGTAGCTCTGAGTCCTTCCTTTCCAAGATTCAGGGTTTTTGCTTGTAAGTGCTGTTTAAAAGCTAGGAAAAATGGGGCACAGTGGTGCAGGCCTGTAATCCCAGTGGCTTGGGAAGCTGAGGCAGGAAGATGCCAAGTTCAAAGCCAGCCTCAGCAATTTAGTGACTCCCTAAGCAATTCAGGGAGACCCTGTCTCTAAATAAAATGCAAAAATGGCTGGGGATGTGGCTCAGTGGGTAAGTGTACCTGAGTTCAATCCCCAGTACAAAAAAAAGCTAGGAAAATTAAATTAAAATGAGTGTGGAAATAGATATGGAACATATTCATAAATTGTGTGAAAGCAGCAAATAACAAAATAGTATGTATACTATTATCAGTTAATGAACTATATGTGTATATATGTGCCTATAAAGTCTGGGAAGGAATAAAATAGATTGGTTTTCTCTAAGTGAAATTAAAGATAATATTTTCTTATTGCTTTTGGCCAACTTTAACCACAAAGAGCTCATATACTTGTGAAATATATGCCAGTAAGTTTAATTGACAAAAGGATCAAGGAAGGAACATATGGAGAATCATTCATCAAACTTGGGTTTGGGGTATTGGGAAGCTGGTGAGGAGCCCCAAGGTTCTCATAGGAGGTGGGGGCTTGGCTGGTGGGCAGGACAGGATTTTAGGGGAGACAGTAGGGCCAGCATTCCTGGCTTCAGGAACAGCTTTAGTAGTTGAAGGGGCAAGTYCTGGCATGTTTGGGAAGTAGCTGTGGTGTCAGATATAGTATTATCTCATTCTTATTTTTTATTTTTTTTTTTAAAGAGAGAGAGAATTTTTTAATATTTATTTTTTTAGTTTTTTGGTAGACACAATATCTTTGTTTGTATGTGGTGCTGAGGATCGAACCCGGGCCGCACGCATGCCAGGCGAGCGCGCTACCGTTTGAGCYACATCCCCAGCCCCTCATTCTTATCTTGTCTTCCTCAGTAAACCAGCAGAATGCCTTCTTAATACTTTCTTTCTTACCATTCTCTGAAACCAGACCTTAGAGGTCTCAAAAATGTCGCCTGGTCTATTACAAACTCAACAGGGAAAATCATGGTTTGCCCTGGAGGCTAATAAATCACTCTCACTGGTTCAGGGYACTAGGGTATTTACCTCTTTTTGCAGTCTACAAAGCTTTAGACTAAAGCAATGTGGGATGAAGAAAAGAAGTTTGGGTTCTGATCCTTGCGGCTTAAGGTTTTAAGAAAGAGCATGTTGTGTTTCTGGAGTCAGGAAAAAGCCATCCATCCCCTACTGCTGGAGACACTGCTCTGCATGGTTCTGGGTTCCTGGGAGTCCTATTAAGAGAGGACTTGCACTGGTGCTGCTTTCTTTTTTCCTACTCAGTTCTTCCAGGCACTGTTGAGATGGGCCAGATTGGTTTTATCTTCTTCATACAGGTGAAGAAACTGAGGCTCCAAGGAAAAAAGTAGCTCAGGTCTCCGCGGTTAGTGCCCTAGTGCTCTTTCTTTTTTACCACCTACTCCCAATACCCACCTCCTGCCCAACCCCCATACCTCCACCCCCTACCTCCCAGGAGCCTTTGCTGGCACACATTCCTATCCTGCCTGGCCCCTCCCACAGAGAAGGAATGGAAGCTGGCCTGTGTACCTCTATTCCCCATTCCCCCTCAGCAGCAGGGACAGCCTACAGGGCAGTGCTTGCTCTGAGTCACTGTTCCCAAGAGCTGGGCTGCAGTTAGCCTTAGGTCAGACTGACAGAACCTTCAGGGGAAAGGGCTAGGCTGGACTTTTTGGTAGGCGGTGTCAGTGTTTTTATCTTTTTCAGTTTGAGATGGGGGTCTGTGTTGCCCAGGCTTGTCCTGAATTCCTGGATTCAAATGACCTCCCTCAGTCACTAGAGTAGCTAAGGCTAGAGCTGTTTCATTTTTAATTTTGAATCACCTGTTGATTTTTAGGCCACAGAGCAATGACATCCTGGGCACTGGGGTCAGCTTATTCCAAGGAAGTTCCCAGCACAGGTCACATAAATGCATTTAGATTTCTTGGACTGCCTGGAGCATCATAAACCTGTGCAGCCCTGAACAATTGCCATGGGAACACAAGATCTGTGGCCAGTGTCGGAGACCTGAAAAGCGGCCTCATTTCTGGAGTATACAGGCAACATTCTTCCAGATTGACCAACCCTCTGCTAGTTAATGTTTTATTAACCTTTCTCTGCCTCCCCAGGGTTTAGAGAAGGGATTCCCCCCCCCCCCTTTTTTAAAGCTTGCTCCTGCAGGCCTGATCCATGCCTGGTGGTTTGCACACCCCCCTAGCTGCTGYTGTTAGAATTACTGGTGATGTTTCCATGCCACATGTCAAGAGTTCAAAGGGTTCCAGAGATCAGTAGGCACAACCTCCTCATTTCATTAAGAAAAGACTGAGGCCACAGAGGTTCACTGATTTTTTTTCTTTCACCAGATGAATGAATAGTAAAGTATAATGTGGTCCCAATTTTAACTGTGCTGTGTGAGACCATTGGGTCCAACAGGGTGACCCAGCAGGCTTTGTTTTTGACTGGAGCATAGCACTGCCCAGAGGTAGGGCTGGGATGGGAAGAGATGGCTGGAGCAGGGTCTAACATTTCTCATGTCTTGACATGTGTCTGCAGCCGCCTCCAAAACTGCCCAGTGGAGTATTCAGTCTGGAATTTCAAGATTTTGTGAATAAATGGTGAGTTTGCTCATTGTTTTTTGAAAGGGTACCTGGATTTGTCAGACTTCCCACCCCATTTCTGAGCCCTCCAGCTTTGCCCTTTCCCCTCTTGAGTACCCCCTGGCTACTGCCATAGCCTTTCTTGTGGAGGGCCAGGGCTTAGTGGTGTGACTGCTTCCAGCACTTGCTCTACATCGATTGGCATGTTGCTTTTTTTTTTTTTTTTTTTTTGTAGATGGACACAGTACCTTTATTTAGTTATTTTTGTGTGGTGCTGAGGATCAAACCCAGTGCTCTACCACTGAGCCACAACCCCAGCCCCTCCCCCGCATGTTGCTTTTTGACCTTCATTTAATTCAGCAAGAAGTCATTAACGTATTGTGGGCATGATATTGTACCAAGAACAGGAAGATGAATAAGGCTCTGGCACTCCTCCTCAGAGCCTATAGTGCGTAGGGGGAAAGGCATGCAAACAGAAGCAATCTGAATCAGAATCAGCRCCAGGCAGAAGCTTCACATTACTTTTTTCCTTTCAGCTTAATAAAAAACCCCGCAGAGAGAGCAGATTTGAAGCAACTCATGGTAAGTCCATTTATTTCAGATGCTTACAGCACCTGTTTATTAATTTGGTCTCCTGTCATCTTTCCGGCACTTATTTACTTTCCATTCCCTGCTTCTGCCCTGACCACCGTGGCGCAGCTGAGAGCCTGAGGCTGCAGGACTCAAACACCAGTCTCCTCTGTCCTCCCATCAGTTTAAAGAAAAGGCTGAAATCACCTCACAGCTGGGATATTGGAAGAAAGGCTTGAGGCAGTCGAGGGAAAGAAGGGGCCAGTCTGCGGCCTTCGTGGGGCTGGGCCTTTTTCTCTTGCTGACTTATCTTATGTTAACCTGTGCACCTGCCTCCTCTTGCTTGGCAGCAGGGCGAGTGAAACACCTTGACCTCATAGCTTTTGTGGCTTGCAGTGTCACATGCTCTCACCTCCACCAGTGCCTTTGGCTTTCCCAACAAGTCTGTGAGGTCTTGAAGGGAAGGTCACTAATCCCGTTTCATTCTGCAAGAGCAGCTAGGGAGGTGAGTGACTTTCCCAGGGCCTTTTGATTGGTATAATTGGCAGAGGCAGGTGGAGCAGGTCTTTGGGCCTGCAGCTGGCCCTACTGCTGCTCAAGGGCAGGCCAGGAGCTCCCTCCAAGTGTGGCACAAGTGCTACATGTGACTCTTGGATTTTCCTTCCATTGGTGGTTTTTAAAACACCTCTCCCTGTTTCCTTGCTTGCAGGTTCATGCTTTTATCAAGAGATCTGATGCYGAAGAAGTGGATTTTGCAGGTTGGCTCTGCTCCACCATAGGCCTTAACCAGCCCAGCACACCAACCCATGCAGCTGGCGTCTAATCCTTTGGGAAGCAGCAAAGAGCGAGTCCTCTGCCCAGTGGTGTGCCGTGTTGCTTTTGGGCCTCTCCCATGCTTGTCTCTGTTCAGACGTGCATTTGACTTATGACAAAGGATGAAGAACACAGCATGTGCCAAAACCGTACTCGTCGTCATTTTTAATATTACTGTCTTTATTATTACTACTGTTATTTCCCTAAGTGGATTGGCTTTGTGCTTGGGGCTGTCTGTGAGTATGTTAATCAAAACACATGCCAAGCTGAAATACAGTGACACTTTGGTGACCGTGGGTAGTCATTCTTACTGACATTTGCACTGCTGTTCCTGCTCCGCGACTGGCTGGCCGCCTGTATCTCCAGGATTCTTGACACTTGGTGGTCCTTCATTTCTGCCAAGTGGACCTTCTCTCAGTGTGAGTGCCAGGGAGCCTCATAAGTCCCTTCACAGGCAGTGCATGTGAAGCATGCTTTGCTGCTGTGAAAATGAGTACCAGAAAGTGTACATCATGTTATTTTATTACCATCTTTTGCTTTTGAYGTAGAATTCAGCAGTTTCCATCAAAATCTAGCCAGAGCCATTCACTGCCATGATAGCTGGGGCTTCACCAGTCTGATTTGTAGACTTCTGGTTGTATTTCTATATTTATTTTTAAATATATTGTGTGGGGTAGTAAATGGTATATGTATCTTTAAGTTTAGATTAGTGTTTCTAAAATGGTGGAGTTACTCTGAATGTCACAAATGAATCAAGGCATTGAAATATGTCAGATTTCTATCTTCTCCCAATCTAAGTACCAATGCTATTGTAAACAACGTGTATAGTGCCTAAAAAAAGTATGAAAATCCTTTTAATCATTTTAATCCAGATGTTTAACAAATCTAGTCTCTTATTCTAATAAATATACTATCAAGTTAAAGGATGAAAGGTATTTCTACTTTTGTGGTAGGCTTTGCAATTTCTCTAATGTATAAGAAATCAAATGATTTAGTCAAGCATTGTTGTGGGGCATGGGGAAAGTAGGAAGGAGGCTGAAAGGCAGAACTATCACACCAACAACAAATTCAGGACATTGGACTAATGGGTCTTCCTGTGATTTCAATCTTTGTACTAATTCTTCTGCTACATCACCTTACCTGTGACTTTCAACCACTTGCCTTTAGACTTATGGACGGATCCCTTCTTTTCCTTTTCTCTCTACATAGGAAAAAGCAGCAGGTAGGGTTTGGGAACAAGTCTAAGAAAAATCACAAGCCATTTCTCAGTGAACATTCCCCGTTTTCCTTAACAAAGAGCTGAGTTGGGGGTATACCTGCTCACCCGAGGCCCTGCAGGCTTTGGAGCCTCTAGCCAGGCAGAGCCAGTCTGCTTTGTTACAATGAGCAATGGATTATCTTCTTGCACCACTTACACTTAACTCCACCTTCCTGGAAGGGAGAAATGTGCCTGATGCCAGCTTTGTCATGTCTGTGAGGTGGCAGTGAAATCACAGTAATTAGATGTGGTAACAGCCACACAAAGTAGTCTAAGGTGGGCAGTGTAACTAAAGCCATGAGCCAGGTGTGGTGGTGTACACCTGTAATCCCAACAGCTCAGGAGTCTGCAAGTTCGAGGCCAGTTTCAGCAACTAAGAGAGGCACTAAACAACTTTAGTGAGACCCTGTCTCAAAAAATAAAAAGGGCTGGGGATGTAACTCAGTGGTTAAGCACCCCTGAGTTTAATCCCTAGTACCAAAAAATTAAAAACACAGAAAAAAGCCATGGTCATTGGTGCCCTCTCCTTAATTATGTGGAACTTTAACCCATGAAGCTTCCTGATCAGTATGTCAAATCTTGTATTCTTTGAAAAGGCAGATTATAGAAAACCAAATCCAATGTATATGTTTAAAAATAAAAAGGCTATTTCATTTTTAGATTAAAAAGAGAACTTGGTAAGTAATACCCAAAGTAGATAGTTCCACTCTGGAGCTACCAGAGCTTGGGTTATAGCCAGGATTTTAAAAAATGGTCAGTGTTGTGTACACTGCTGCCTACAATAGTCAAAAAAAWTTTTTTTTTCACGAGGCCAACAGCTGTTCTAAGAACAGTCTAACTTACATGTTTTCAACATATAAACACTTGAGTTTTAAAACCTACTCCCTATGTCTTGCCAACAAGGAGAGGATGCCTGGCTATTGAGAATGTCTCATTAAAATGAACAAACTACATCCTTTGTGAGAAAAGAATAGCTTAAGCTGGTATCTAAAACCTGGWTTTAGGTGCAGTGGCATATACCTGTAACCCCAGCTACTTTGGAGGCTGAAGCAGGAGACCCAAAAGTTCAAGGCCAGTATGGACAACTTGGAAAAACCTTGTTTCAGAATTTAAAAAAGGGCTGGGGTTGTAGCTCAGTGGTAGTCCCCCTGGGCTCCATCCTCAGTATCAAAAAAATAAAACCCAGATGTAAATGCTTTCATGAGTGGTTTCTTTTGAAGGGTGCTTTAATTCTCTATCCACAGTTAAATGTATTTCATTTTTAGTGTCAAAAGATTTTTTTCCAGTAATTTTTTTTTTTTTTAACCAAGAATGATCTTGTTTTCAAGAATGATGTTCCCAGCATCAGTGCTTTGAGTTCTTAGTCAGATTCTTGTCTCGAACTTCCTTTTACTGARACACCAGTAACAGTTGGGTTTTTAGATGATACCTCATTGGCATCTTAACCTGTGAAACTGCTAGAGCAGATGTGATTATCCTCATGTTACAGATGTAAAAGTAGAGTTGCGAAGAGGTGTGAAAACAAGCAACCAGTTACCAGTCAGCAGTAGAGCTAGAATACACAGTGAACTTTTCCGGCTCTTGAAAAACCCTGTTCATGTTTTAAATCAGACCCCCAAAAATGTATACCTTGATAAATTTTGTTCCAAAACTGTCTTCACTGTGTTTTAAGGAACATATCACTTAAACTTCCTGCTCTTTCCTATAAGAGTAGCTTAAAATAACCTCAATGAAACATTAACAACAAATAAAGTATATTCCTCTTTTTTTTCTGGAACAGCTACATAAGTTCTGTGTGAAGACATTCTTAGTTTGCATTGGCTGTTAGCTGGAGAAGAAATTATAGAATTAAGTGACTACTCAGTAGAAAAGGGACAATATGCAGAATTAAATCTCAATTTCAAATACAAAGTTCAACAACTCTTATTCTGCAGCTATCATCTCTTTTATTATAAAAGTCCAATCTCCCAAGCATAGTGATATCTTCTTTAATGACACATTTCTTCTTTAAGGGCCAGAAATGGATCTTATTTTATGCCATCTTGCCATTTCCCTCAGAGGAGGAAATGCTGCTTTCTCCCTCTGTATCTGGAAACCAGCAAGGTCTATGATGGTTATTTATAATTTATTCTGAAGCATCTTTTATCAGCGATGTTTCAAGCTAGATGTRGTAACAGCCACACAAAGCAGTCTAAGGTGGGCAGTGTTTCCATGTCTCCGAAACGTGGCAGCAGCTTGTGCTCTCAAGTGCCCTGTCCTTCGTCTTGTTATCTTTCTCTCCTAGACTGTGACCTAACTGTTCACAAGGGTTCAATCGCACACAAACAGCTCTTAACTGGATTTTCTGAAAGACTTGTTGACTGGAAAGCCTAGCTTATATTTAAACTCTGCCTTTTGCAAATTCCAGACTTTCTCAGTAGGATTTCAGAAGAAATTTTATTTTGAACATAATTACTAAATCTAATCCTGTCACAGACACTTCACCATCCAAACTGCTCAACTTTAAGACATTATATCTTTGATTTTGTTACTATGTTTTACTTTTCCTAAAACATTCTGGAACTTGAGTTATTACTGATGAAGCCACTTGTACAATGACACATTCCTCCTATGATTCTTGCTTTCCTTTCAAGTAGGCCATAGGACTTCTCTGAAGAAGTATCTGAGGCTTAGAAATATGATTTTTAGAACAAATCCTGGGTCTCATCCTCCTTTAGGAATCTGATTCTTCTTCTTCCTCTTCCTCTTCTTCCATCACATGGCTCTTTGTGCTCAATTCTAGTGCAGTTTGATTGATCGATGCTTCATTATCTACATGCATCAACATCTGTTAGCCAAGGACATCAAAGATTAGTAGAAAGGATACTGGCAGCAAAACAGCAAATTCTTAAAATGTTTCAAAATMAAATCTCAATTGTATATTCACCCCTAGCATTTATGACTAAGAGGTAAGCCACTTTGCTATTCATTTTTCAGTATTACACTTTGTAGTTGAAGCCACATTTTGTTTTTGACACATCCTTACAGAGATCTACATACTTCCCCAGGGTTCATCCGAGTAACTAGAGAGAAYAAACAGGTGACCAGGAGGGAGTAGGCTCCCTAAATTGGTCAAAAGTGTAGCCAACTAATATAGAATAGCCAGCTTCTTAAACTAGAAACTGATCCAAGGCTGGAGATACAGCTTAGTGGTAGAGTGTTTGCTTAGCATGTACGAGATGTACAAGGCCCTCGGTTTGATCTCCAGAACCACCACCAGCACTTAAAAAAAAAAAAAAAAAAAAAAACCAGCATCACTTAAAGTCCTTTGGGCTTGACAACACGCGTTATAATTTTTGGCCACCCAAGCAGCAGGGGAGCATAGTGAACTCTGCACTCTCTGCCTGTACTTAATTTTTTTTTGTGAGGTGGGGGAGGTACCAGGGATTGAAGTCAGGGCAYTTGACTACTGAGCCACATCCCCAGTCCTATTTTGAATTTTATTTAGAGACAGGGTCTCACTGAGTTGTTTAATACCTTGCTTTTCCTGAGGCTGGCTTTGGACTTGCCATTCTCTTGCCTCAGCCTACCAAGCTGCTGCGATTACAGGTGTGGGTGCATGTACTTAATTTTACTTACATCATGTGACTGTTCTGGTATACCAGGCTGAGAAGACAGCATCTCATCCCCTTTTCTAGAACTGATTATTGATTGGAGGGCCAATTCTTCAACCTAGAAAAGAAGAGTTGAGGATATTTCATTACCATTTTTTTTAGTTGTAGATGGACACAATATCTTTATTTATTTTTATGTGGTGCTGAGGATCRAACCCAGTGCCTCACGCATGCAAGGCAAGTGATCTACTACTGATCAACCCCAGGCTTTTCATGCCTTTTATTTTTGCTTTTTTGCAGTACTGGGGATTGATCCCAGAGCACTGAGCAAGGTAGGCACTCTATTATTCACCCACATCCTCAACACTTTAAATTCAGAGACAGGTTCTTACCCATTTGCTCAAGCTGGCCTTTAACTTGTGATCCTGCCTCAGCATCATGAACAGCTGTTTTCCCTGCCTTTTAAAGAGAGGAATAAATTCCACCTTCTTCCCTTTGGACTGTACAGGTGGGTTTTGTGTGTATGTGTGTTGTGTGTGTGTGTGTGTGTGTATTTTACTAGGGATTGAACCCAGAGCTTCCCACATTCTAGCCAAGCACTCTACCACTGAGCTACATCCCCAGCCTCCATTTCTCCTCACCACCACCACCCTTTTTTGAGACAGGATATCAAAGTTGTTCAGCCTTGAGCTTTTGATCCTCCTGTCTTCCAACTTACTGGTGTTATTGGCAGCACAGCAAAGGAACCTACCTGGATTCTGACTGGTCATATCTACCCTCCCAACTGCATTAAAAAATAGGCAAACAATTGAAAAAGAAAAAATGAACTTTATACAATTTGGTCAAGCCTTAGCCACTGTTTACCTTTTTCTTATGTGCGCAGGCAGCTGAATCCAGCTAGCTGGGATCCAGACAGGTTCCCTGGCCTGGTTGCCAATAACACTGGGATTACAGGCATACACTGCACAATGGGCAGTACAGGTGTTCTGGCTCAATTATGGTTTTCATTCACTAAGAACTAGCAGTTATGGAAGAAAATACAAGTGTATCATTGAGTCAGATGTGGAAGKCAGCCTGTGCAATTTATCAAGACCCTGTCTCAAAATAAAAAATGAAAAGGGCTGAGAGTGTAGTTCAGTGGTAGTGTTCAATCTCCAGTACAACCCGCCCCCCGACACACACACAAAAGACCAGGCAACACCGGACTCCACAGAAGGCGGAGTCTTCAGACCTGACCTGAGAAAAGAAAACCGAAGTGTTTCTTGAACCATAGGGAATCTGGGTTTTGGGGACCATCATCCATACTATCACTAGGTACTTGTAGGGGTACTGTCGCAGTATAGACATAACTGTGGGTCATTATAATTACCCAGGAGGAAAATGCTTATTGTTTTGCTAAGTCAAAATTGTAAAACGCTTTTCAGTTTATAAAGGGCTTTTTAATCCTCATGTCATTTGGACTTCAAGACCTAAATAAGACAGTTGAATAGGGATTAGCATWATCATCTCACAAGGGCTGAATTATCCACAGGTCTGGAAAGTGACGTAAACAGGCCTGAATCACCAACCTTCAAACTCATGGAGTCATTAACAGCTCCAAAAACTACTGGGAATTCTAAGCTTTGGGACCAGTCCCTCTCCCATCTTAATATCTTTCACACCATGGGATATCTCAAAGGTCTATTCTTGGTTTGCAATACTAAAGCCATTTCAAGAATCAGTACAAACTAGTAAACGGGCTCAGGAGAGGGTTCAGGAAGAGATGGATGGGTAGGAAGATAAGTGAGCTTTGAAGAAGAGGACACATCCTCAGCGTATGACCAGCAGGGTCAAGATTTAGAGATGTGGGACCTAATATTCGAAAGCTCGCTTGCCAGGTGTTTCAGCTATACGAGTTTGTAACCTGCTAGGTCCGCGCCACGACGGACGGATGAGGACCAGGACAATCGACCGCAGAGGCAGACTCCTCAAAGGGCTGAGCTCGGGGAGATGTCACGCAGGCGAAATGGTGGGGCGGTGGGGTCACCTTGAGGCGGTTCAGCTGGTCGTGCAGGGCCGCCTTCAGTCGCAGCAACGTCTCCTCCTCTTTGCGCAGCTCCTGAAGCCGGCTCAGCATCTCCGCTAGTCAAGACGCCAAGTTCCACGCTCTGTGAGCCTGGCGCTCGGTGATGACGCCATCGCCAATTCCCGGAAACGTAGGRGGCGGGGCTTGAAGACAAATCGGAAGCGCATAGCAGGTCTCCTTCCGGCGCGTGCAGTCGCCCGGTTACTCAATGGGTGGTGAGCTATGTGAAGGGTTTGGCTTTCTAGGAGACATTTGGATGCATGAATAATGATCAAGATTTCTAAAGCACAGGACAAAAAAACCTGAAAATAAGCCTTGAGTTTGGACAGGTTTTTCAACCTGGTAGTGCATTTCCTCACACTAAGTGGTCAAACTGTAATAATTCAGAAGAGCAGTACTGGCTGCAGCACACTTCCAACGCGGTGCTTCAACCCCATSCACACCCTCCTGCTGTCTTGGGTAGAGCCCAGGGCTTCGTGCAGGCTGGGCGACTACAACCCCTGTTGTTTGACTCCACAAGCTTCCAGTTGCATACCAAGGAAGRGATCAAAACCACCCGTTTCTAGTACAAGCTGTGGTACATGAACCATATTAATTCCTAGTGGACTCTAAAGGGGACAGACTGCTACTTAAGGAGCTAAAGAGCATGAAGATGAAGCTGTGAGGACAAAATGCAATGAGAAACACCCATTTTGTCTACCAAGAACCAACAGTTGGCCCAGGAACCAGATCATCCCGGCTGTGAACCTTCGCCAACCATCCAAATACAAAACGACCTTGTTTATCTGTATGCACTAATACATGCACATGGTTCCAAAAAAAAAAAAAAAACCCTCTAGAATCTTTTTAAATTATGGGTGACAAGTGCCAACCGACTTCCATCATTGTAAGCTAACAGAAGCACTTTCCCAGAGGTAACCAAATTCACTMGTTACTTCCAACATTGTATTGAACAACTTTGCCCTCTTGTGGTTGCTCAAAATGTCAAATTTCTATGGAATTTAACTCACATCCAGCCCTTTTTGGGAAGCAAATAGTTTTCTTGGGGGGGTACAAGGGACTGAACTAAGAAGTGCTTACCCACCAAGCCACACCCCAGCCCCCCCCCCCAAACTTTGAGATGGTCCAAGTTGCAGAGGCTGGCTTTGAATTTGTGTTCCTTCTGCCTCAGCTTCCTGAGCTGCTGGGATTACAGGCAACCATGACCTCATAAGGTTGTGTGTGAGGCACATTTCTAACATCTGTTTTTCTAGTGATTTAAAAAATGGAATGCCACATCAAGGTCTTTGAAATAAGATACTGTGTCCGCCTACAACTAAAAAATTTTTTTCTTAAGACCAGTGAAGTTTTACTAAACAGACCCAACAAAACATGTTTGTCACTGCATCTTTGATCAGCTCTTTATTCAAAATAAACTGTCCAAAATTATTTAAACTTATGGAATAAAACAGATTTAGAGTTTATGCAGCAGACTTTTTCTCTTCTGCAGCAGGTTTCTTCTCTGCT